CTTTTAATTTAGGGCCCCATTAAATCCATTTCAGTTTATCCCAAATTCTGTGTTTTCCATTTTATTTTTTTCTGAATTCTGTGTTTTAATGATTTAAAGGAGACATATTATGCCCCTTTTTACAATATGTAATATAAGTCTCTGGTGTCCCCAGAATGTGTCTGTGAAGTTTCAGCTCAAAATACTGCACAGATCATTTATTATATCATTTTGAAAATGCCTATTTTGAGTGGAAGCAGAAACACGCTGTTTTTCAGGCCTGTCTCTTTAAATGCAAATGAGTGGCTGCTCCCCGCCCCCTTTTCCAGAATAGGACTGTGCCTTTACAGCTCGTATCTGCTAAAAAACATCTGTTTTGGTTCTGATTATCATGTTTATCGCGCTGAACGGCACATGTTATAACGGCGCCATGGGTGTAAACTTACAGATTAAGGGGCGGTAATATTATAATGAGATCCCTTTGCCACGTCACCAAGGGAGCGAAATCAGATGCACTGGTTTTCTCAGACGCTTGCAGAAAAGGCTTACCAAAACAAACTGATTGGGTTAATCTTTTTCACGTTTCCTTGGTTGGTAGATGCACCGGGGACCTGATTATAGCACTTCAAACCTGGAAAAGTCAGATTTTCATGATATGTCACCTTTAACACAAATGTATCATCAAAAATCATCTATTGAAATGAATTCATAAAACAATTTAATCAAGAATTTAAAATGTAATCAATTTAAATTATAATTAATTTACATTAAAAAAAAAACACTGCGCAACAACTTGTATACTGTATGAATTAAGGCATGGCTGTAAAGTGTTTAGGTTGTATGATATTCTTTAGTAATAATAATAGTCAATGTCATGTTTTAATTCATTTTATTATCACTCGTTCTTGTCTTTCAGACTGATCAGGGCATTAAGAATTTGACCGTTCAAGAGGCTGATCGTCTGGCTTCCTCCGACCCGGATTTCTCCATCAGAGATCTCTACAATGCCATCTCCAACGGCAACTTCCCATCCTGGACTTTCTACATCCAAGTCATGACCTTTGAGCAGGCGGAGAACTGGAAGTGGAATCCGTTTGATTTGACTAAGGTATCCGCATCCCAGAATGCACCTCAAGACACTACGCTACACTAGTGGTTCTCAACCTCTTTGACTTCAAGGGTCCCTTTGTCCAAAACAATATTTGAAGGCCCTCCTATTTAGGCTGATATGTACCTCTAGTACACAAAAAAATAAAACAATGGCAAAAACACTCAAAATGATTAAAACATATATAAAACAAATAAAAAAAGCTATAATAGTATCTCAGTTATTCTAGAATAACACTGTTTCTGATGTAGTAAAAATAAAATAAAAAAATGATGTCAGTTTAATGTTGTTTGTCTTTTTTTTTTTTGCATTTTAAGGTTACTACAACATCAATTTTAAATAAATTATATGTAATGTATAAGTATAAAAAAAATATTTAAATAATGTTTATGACTTAATGGGGCCTTCATGGAAGTTTGCTGAGGCTCCCTAATGGGCCCGGGCCTCCTGGTTGAGAACCACTGCACTACACTAATGTCTGGCATTGGTCACTACACAATTCCTATTCTTCCATTTGTGTTCTTTTATAGTTTTGATGAAATAACTTGTTCTTCATAACAAAGAATGAGATGTACGTGTGCCCATCCCAATGACTGGCTCTGTATCTTTCAGGTTTGGCCCCATAAAGACTTCCCTCTGATATCTGTGGGACGCCTTGTGTTGAACCGAAACCCTGTCAACTATTTCTCTGAGGTCGAGCAGCTGGCGTTTGATCCCAGTAACATGCCTCCCGGCGTTGAGCCCAGCCCAGACAAGATGCTGCAGGTATGTTTGTACTAATGTGTCACAAAACCTATTAAGCAACCTACCCAGACACATTTCATAGGTTCGTTTGCACAAGCTTAAAATGCACAAAAGGATGCTTGTTCACTATTTTGTCCTTGAGCAAGGCATTTAAGCTCTGCGTACTTGTAATAAGCGTCCTGTAAATCACTTTGGATTAAAGTGTCAGTGACTAATAACTAATTGCAAGAATGTTGCTAAATACTGTAATTGCTCAGTTTTGTCGCCACAGGGGCGTCTATTCTCTTATCCAGACACACATAGACATCGGCTCGGAGCGAATTACCTCCAACTGCCTGTCAACTGCCCCTACCGCACCCACGTGGCAAACTACCAGAGAGACGGACCCATGTGCATGTACGACAACCAGGGTGAGTGACACACACTCCAAACACGGCAGAACAAAAAATGGGATGTCAAATGCTTTGTTTGGTTTTGAGTTAGAGATGGTATTAGTCTCTTAAAAGTGAGTCAGATGAACAATGCAACATCTGTCTGGAATGCCTGATGTGACCCAAACTTGCATTTCATTGTTCGTTGAATTTTGTGGCAAAACAACAGCAGTTCCTCTCCTGTCCTGCAGGGGGGGCTCCTAACTACTTCCCCAACAGCTTCAGTGCTCCTGAGACCCAGCCACGCTTCATCGAGTCCAAGTGTAAAGTGTCTCCTGATGTGGCCCGATACAACAGCGCAGACGATGACAATGTGGCCCAGGTTTGTTGGTGAACGTGTGTGCGTCTGTGTATGGATAATCACAAGTATGGTGAGTTCTAATCCCGCTCTGATGCATTCTGCAGGTGCGCACGTTTTTCACAGAGGTGTTGAACGAAGCCGAGCGAGAGCGTCTGTGTCAGAACATGGCCGGCCATCTGAAAGGAGCTCAACTGTTTATTCAGAAACGCATGGTATGATGTTTTGTTTTTGGTCCTGTGAGATTTTTCGCTCTCGTAAATCTCATGACAACTAGTCAAACTTCTCATTAGCAGTTTTTCAGGAATATATAAACATGCCTAGAAAAAAAAACATTTGTTTCTGAATGATTCAGATGGATTTTTGTGATTTTTGCAGGTGCAAAACCTGATGGCCGTTCACCCCGATTACAGCACTCGCGTTCAAAGTCTCCTGGATAAATACAACGCTGAAGGGAAAAAGGTAGAAAACATTCTATCAGTCTCACACACATTCATGTACACGGAAAAAAATTAAGAAAAAATTTTGCTTTGTAATTAATTGTACAATTTACTAGCAATTTCTAAGAAATGGCAAGTACAATAAATAGACTAAAGACTAAAATAGAATTTTCTTGGAAAATGTACTCCAGTAATCTATTATTTACAGTTTTGAAGATTTTTTTACAGCGTATGTTAATTTAGTGTGTGTCAAAATTGTTATAGTTAATTATTAAGTTTAATTATTATAACTATGAGTAAAACCATAAAAAATGTTACTTGAAATAGTTAACTCAATGAAAATATAAAAAGCTGAAATAAAACATTATAATAGTATATGTTTAAAAGAATACTGTATGTATTAAAAAACACACACACACAACAAAATTAAACTAAAACGAAAATTTGAATGAATAATATAAAAATAAAATACAAATTCAAAATATTACAAAAATTATAATAGCATTTCAGTGGTACTAAAATATATGAAAGCTTATTTTGGGCAAAAGGGTATTTTTTTTCCCCTCGCAATTTTGACTTTTTTTTCTCTCTCTCTGAATTTTTAGTTTATCTTGCGATTCTATTTTTTCCCCTTAATTTTTAGACACCTGACCTTTAGACGTGCAGAATTTTGAGGAAAAAATGTCAGAATTGCAAGATAAAAAGTCAAAATTTCCTTCTTTTTTTTCTGTGGTGGAAATAAACTTTATTTTATCATTATTTTCTCTGTCTTTATCTCTCCAGAACACTATTCATGTTTATACTCATAGTGGACCGTCCGCTGTGGCCGCAGCTTCTAAGATGTGATTTCAAAGTGCTGCCTCTCTGCGCACACACACACACACACACACACACACACACACATTCTCTTATAGAGTGTGATATAGAGTCATGATGTTTAATTCATTCCTTGTGTTCTGTAGAAATAGACATCATATCTAATATGGCCAATTCACAACACAAGTGGTATTAGCAAATGCAGCACTGATTCCTTAATCATGATTAATGCTGTCAAACCAAATGGAGGCCTTGGATTCATATGCAAGTTTGAGCTAATCCTAAACTATCAGCCTGTTTCAGTATACTTCTGCATTTTGATTGTGTGTGAAATGTAGCAAATAATACTTTGAGAATGAACAACATGTGTGTTTAACATTAATATCGTGTGAGCCTTTTGATTGTTTTTTTTTTCCTTTATATTTTGGCTACTAATGCCCTAAAGAGAAATTAACTCTTTCCGTCCCTTTTGCCTTAACTGAATAGACTTCAGTTCTGATAATGCGAATGTAACATCTTTTGACATTTTGTAATTAATAAATCAGAATATTTGATCTCTATGACTGAGTTGTGGATTCATTTTAGAAATCCTGGTTGCTCCCTTTTTCATTTTTGTCTTTTTCTTTAAAAAATGTGTCCTCTTTGTTTCTCATTTTTTAAAAGCCTGAATTTTCAGGAAATTCACCAAATTCACATTGCCATACCTTTTAAATTTGTCTTCTTGCAAGTGTGAGATTTGAAAGCTATGATGGAGTTCAAAGTTTTTAAAATAAATTAGTATATTCTAAATTTTAGTTTGTTCCTCCCATAAGAGGGACAAACTGCATGGCTTTGGAAGACTGCTTCCACAGTAGGGGGCGCCATTTTCTAACACAGGAACCCCAGACCCTAATATTTTGTAACAGGACACAGTGGTGACCAAAATGAATGTAACTTGAATTATTTTTTTAATGTACAGCTGTAGCGCACATGCTTCCTAAACATTTGAGTTTTGGTGCTCCGACAAGGATGCAGGTTCGAGTACAGCTTGCGTCCCATCCACATTTCTATCCTCTAAAAACTCTTCTCTGTAGTTTCCAGTCTAAAGAAAAGGGTGAAAAATTCTTAAATACCACTAAAACATCTAGTAACGTAACATTTTTAACCCAGTAAGAAGTTTAAAGTTTTCTTAATGAATTTTTTAGGCATTTATATTTATTTAGAATTCTTTAATAACAGTCTGTTAAAACTATAATTATGCGTTTTTTGACAAACCTAGAGATTTTGTTGAAATGGTTCCATGTATAGAAGCAGCACCCTGCCCTGATCTCTCTAGCGACAACCACATAATGAATGACCTCTCTCTCCACGGCGCTCGGTCTCTGACTCCACCTATCTGCAGTGTTGTATAAGTAGTGTCCTGATCTTTCTCCTCAGTAATTCCTCTTCAGATTCTCCCAGGAGTTTCGACCCCTGACCTCCAAGGATGGATAACGCCACATACAGCTACATGAACGACTGCACTCCGCTCACTAACTGTAAGTCCGGCCGTAAGGCTGGCGGCTCCACAGTGGTCAACATGAGCCATGTGGGCAAGAAGCCACCAAACGACTACCTGATCTGGTCGCTCTGTAACACTCTTTATGTCAACTTCTGCTGCCTGGGATTCATGGCTCTGATCTACTCCATCAAGGTGAGCTCAAACACCAATGTCTTGGAGTTTTTCTCTCTTTTGAATATCTTCGCCTTTTTGTGGCTTTCAAACCTCTTCAGAAATATTCCTGTAAAACCAAAACGGGTTTTACAGTCCAACAGAAGAACGTCTAGGTGTTCAAAAAAAATCCTTATCTTTTTGATGCTTTAAAGAGTCTAGAAACCAAAAACACCACCTAAGGAACTAACAATACAACATCAAGAGCTTTTTGATCTCCAAAGAACCATAAAGCAACTCAAGAACCCTACAGAGATTAGATGCACAGTGCCACAGTCTTAAACATAAAAGTTCCAAAAGAGGAATTTTGCAGCGGTGCCAGAGAGAACCATCTTTGGTTTACCAAAGCACCTTTCAGTGAACAGTTCCTAAAGGAACTATTTTTTTTGATAGTGCGAAGAACATTTTAGTAAACTTTTTCCACTATAAAGAAACTTTTGTGTAAATGGAAAGGTTCCATGAATGTTCACAAAACCATTGATGTGAATAAAGAACCTTTATTTTTAAAAGAGCAGTTAAGTAGAGAAGGCAAGAAGGATCTTTGCTGGACCTAATGCAAGGAACCATTGAAGAACCTTGATTGTAAAAACACGACTGTCCGAGACTCATTTCCATTTTGCGTCTGTCTGTTTCCAGGCTCGAGATCAGAAGACCTTGGGCGACATGCGTGCAGCACAGGAATGCTCAGACAAAGCGAAGTGGTACAACATTCTGGCATCGGGCTGGAATCTCTTGATTCCTCTGCTGCTGTTGGGTCTGCTGGTCCTGCTCGTGGTTCATCTGGGCAGCTCAGAGGGAACGTTTGATTTCTTCGGTGAAGACGGATTCCAGAGCTTCATGAAGCTCTTCAGCAGGTAGACAGAGCGACTCGAACAATCCCACCACCAAAAGCTCCTGCAAACCTTCTGGACTGTTCACCCTCTCTCCACTTTACCAGCACCATTTCTTCAGCTGTGTGATGAATTTTAGTTTTTCTTTTTCATAATTAATGTCAGTGTACTGTATATTAACTCATATCTACCCAGTTCTATTTTGTGAAGTAAATTGGCTCAACTGTATTTAATAAAATATTTAATGTCCTCAATATTTTTCCACACGAGTCTCTTTGAACAGATTTCTGTCACCAGTGGGATAAAATAATTACAGCGGTCACGTTAGCGATGTTGCCGTGGAATTTCGCGGGCACAAAAGTCCATTATTAATAGTATAGGCTTTAACCTTCTTTTCCCAGCTGAGAAATCATTTTACTGGTCTCCCGGTCTGGTCAGGCTAATCTTTTTGCCAGTTTTGGCCCCTTTTCAGCTGGAACACCATCTTAAACCAGCTTGGCCTGGGTAGGAGACCAGCCTAAATCATGTAAACCTGGTTTAAGCTGTTTTTTCTTTTCAGCAGGGAAGTTAATTGGTTATGAGGAGCAGGTTAACATGACTTCTGTGCTGTGAGGCTTTCTGAGAGCTTGTTTCTCCTGTTAGAGACTGAAGGGATGCTGTGGTTTAGTTCTCGTGTCTCTGTAATGTTCGGCTGTGCCGCCTGTGCTTACAGCGGCGAACCCTCCCAGCTCTACTGGTATTTTTATCATTTAAATGACAGAGCTGTTTGCCAGCCTTCTCTCCCCTTCTATTTCAGTCAGTATACAGAGTGGACACAGATGTGGAGGGACTCGATTAAAGAGCAGTTAACACACACACACACACACTCATGTAGACCTTCTGCCTTTGAGCCGGAGTCTATTTCTTGTGTGTGTGGATTCTTGCTGATTCTTCATTTGAACTATCAATTAAATCTCAGAGGTCTTTGATATTCACATGCAGATTTAATATTACATCTGTAAAAAAATATGGCTTTGTCATGCTATAATTCTTTTAATTAATACACAGGCATTTTGGGGTGAATCTCATGAAACGTATCAAGAACATGTCTGGGTAATTTAATGCCAAATTTAAAAGAAAATAAAAATATTAAATTTATGATAATTAAGCAAATTTGTCCTCTCAATTCTCATTGCTGTAATGCAGAAAATGTCACTGACATTGGTGTAAAGCAAAAATAAGTAAAGTATTTAATATCTGAGAATCTACACATGATAGTATTAGTAGTGCTTCATTTCATTTTAATTTATGCTGATTAATTGATGCTGAGGTTTTTTTTAATGAGAGTTTAGAGGAAAATGTACTGAAGTGCCATGAAAAAATATTATAATATTCATAATATAATTATTGCGCTATCAATATTCCTAAAAGTTACATATGCTCAGTATTTTTTATATCATAATGCTATATGATCCTAAGAAACTCATATGCAAAATAAATTTGAAAGAAAAAATGAATATATATATATATATATATATATATATAGGGCTGTGAAAAGGTTTTTGCCCCCTTC